CAGTGTAGGCTAAGGTGACAGTGTAGTGTAATATAGCGGTGTAAACTAATATTAATATTATTAGTGCACCATGACCGATTTTGTTATATCTGCCATTTGTATTTATTACGCCTGCAATGATGCATCAATACCACATTGGTTGCCCCGCAATTGTATATGTGCCAGTATTTCATTGGTCGTGATGTTCTAGGTACCTGCAAAAGGATGGCAAGTGATTTCTTGGCACATCTAAAAACTTGGAGGAACATCAAGTGCATGCAAGATGCAAGGAGCTGCAGGATGAAGTGCCCAGACATTTGGAGTCATGTGATGTTGTTCTTCAAGCACAAATCATTGATGCCTTTATTCAGAAAACAATTATTAAGGCATCTGAGTCAGAGGCTAAAAACATGTTTTAAAATCCTGCTCCCACCTGCAATTAGAGCATGTGACAGTGCCTTTGAGGCTTACAGGCTTGGGATAATGTTCAAGAAGTTTTGAAACTCATCTGGGTAAGAATAATCATGCATTTTGTTCATCTCCTTTTGATTACCATCTCCACAAGATGGTTATCTTTGTAAGCTTATTGTTCAAAACTTGTGAGGCTATTTTTGCATTCCATTTTTATTCACAAATATTTTTTTGGTATGCAAAGGTGTTTTCCCCATTTATAAATATGGTCTGAAAGTGGGATCTATAAGAAACTAGCATATGATGTACATCATGGTTAGCATGCAGTGTCTATATTATGTACACCTTCAGTTCAACCTGGTGACTGCTATTCCATTTTCAGACTCCCATTCATATTTTGGGCTGCATCTCTGCTTGCTGCCTACATGCACAAGACAAGGAATGGACATCCCTCCTCTTTGATGACTGATCTTTTACAGTATGCCTTCCACAGTCTCAAAGCTACTTATTCACACTGCCAGGACAGGTACCGTTAAAGGTGTTCATCCCATCCCCATTGCCCTACAAGTTCCCAAATGTTATGTATGGGAGTGCTACTCACACTTCTAATGGGGTGTAGTAGTGTACTGGTTAACGCGTCTGCGTTAACGACTGCCCGTCTGGGAATCCAGAGGTACGGGGTTCGATTCCCCGCAGTGCTCGCCATTCATGCCAGGGTGAGAGGCAGGCGACGTCATATAGCCTCAGCAGCTGAGTGCGTCGTAAAGCCCCAATGACACACACACGCACGCACGTATGCACGCACGCACGCACGCACGCACGCACGCACGCACGCACACACTTCTAAATTGTAATTGCATGGTGCAATAAGTCTCAATTGGTCTTTCTAACCATCATCTGTAATTTAATTATGTGTAACATAACCCTGCATGTATCTTCACGTCCAAAAAACAAAATTTGTGAAATTTCAGTCGGGCTAGTCTGTGTCTCACCATCTGTGCCAGTATTCTAATATCCAGCCATTTTGGGTGGCAGGGATGTCAGTATTTTACATGCCATTACACCCCGGCTTGGATCTACTGCCGGTGCCCCTCCCCTTGCTCAAATCAGGCAATCAGCATTGAACCGGGTGGCGGTCAACCCAGGATCTAAGTGCCACAGGCTTGACAAATGGCTGGGCTGGTCAGATGTCTGGTTTTGGGGTCACAAAGCAATAGATTAGCACTCCATGAATTGGTGTATGGGGATGCCAGAGAGCCAAGATTCCGACAGCATGAATTTATATTTACATACCGCACACCCTACAGCAAGAATTTTTAAATGCCGATCTGTGCTGCATGTTAGTATATTTATGCATGCTTATGTGATACTGAGTCTGCAGATCACCTGCAGTCCCTTGTCATGTTACCGCAGCCCTCGGGGCGCGCGGCCGTATGCTGAGTCGGTGACCATGGTCCTGTCTGTTGTATACCGCAGCTCGTGCATGTACGGCAGCGTGCTGGAGTCGGTGAATGAGCCGCTCACACAGCTGTTCCGCGCCGCCACGACCCTGCAGGCACACCTCCATCAACTCTGCAGCTCTTTGGCCACCTCCTGACGGTCTGACCGAGGACGACATGGCCTTGCTCACCTCAGGTGGGTCTGGGCCGGTCCGTGCTGACCCCAGGTGGGTCTGGGCCGGTCCGTGCTGACACCAGGTGGGTCTGGGCCTGTCCGTGCTCACCTTAGGTGGGTCTGGGCTTGTCCGTGCTGACCCCAGGTGGGGTCTGGGACCGGTGCGTGCTCACTTCCAGGGGTCTGGACTTGTCTGTACTGACCCCAGGTGGGTCTGCGCCGGTCCGTGCCGACCTCAGGTGGGTCTGGGCTTGTCTGTGCTGACCCCAGGTGGGTCTGGACCGGTCCGTGCTGACCCCAGGTGGGCTTCTGGTGGGTCTGGGCCGGTTCGTGCTGACTTCAGGTGAGTCTCGGCCTGTCTGTGCTGAGCTTAGGTGGATCTGGGCCGGTCTGTGCTGGCTCCGTGGTCACCATCGGATGCTGTGTGCTCCGGCTGTCAGCTGGTGGCGCTCCACAGTGTGCTGGAATATTTGTGTTGCCGTGCTCTTTTGTCGGCTGTGTCCTGTGTTGTGTGACCTTGTCAGCTGTGTGGGATGCTGTTCGCTCCTGTCAGGGTTTTCTCACGGTTTGGATCAGGGCCGACGCTGTGGAGTAGAACACGTTATGCAATCACATTCTCGTCCCAAATTGGATACAAATACTGGTGCATAGATCAATATAAGGTGTCGAATGTGACTGAAATAATGACAACTCCATTGCACCGTAACAAGGAAAACGTTTCGAAGAGGGCGGTAAATGACCTCGAACTCGAGGTATCCCCTAAGCAGCTCAGCAGTAACCCGTACTGCTAGTGTGTGACATTGCACACCCTGCCGACAGTGCATGACACAGGGTACCCCCTGTCATGAGGATGTGAAACTGTGCACCATCAGCTGCCATATGTCACATAGTCTTCCCCTGCTTTTAGTATATGATGCCGTATATCCATGCTGCCAGTGTAACATACTGTACGTCCGCTGCTAATGTGCGACGCGTGGCCCTTCTGCCGCATGTTACACAGCGTGTCACCCTTCGGCAGTCCTGTGACGACCTGGCGGTGACCGGTCGCCTTCTGACCAGGCTGGACGCTCGCGCCATGGCTGAGGCCTGGAAGTGCTACCTGCGCCTGCTCCAGCTGCTGCCGGAGCGGCTGCCGGCCAGCGCCGGACCTGCCACGGGCGCTGACCTCATGGCCCGGCGAGGTCACTGACCGCCTGGCCGAAATACGCCAGACGGCCGCCGACAAGGTCAGAACGGCGCCCTGTGGCGGCCTGCGAACGGCTGGCGTTTGTTAACCCGCGAGGGCGGAATTACACGGTGTTCAGAACATGGTAACCGACGCCTCGTTTTGCACTTGAATTGCTTGAGGGCATGCTTCGCTCCCGGGTTGTGTTTTATTTGCACCACACATCGCAAGTCTTAAAGTGTCAGAATTTCACTATGTGCCATCAAACTGTGTAGGGGTTTTGCAATCAAAATGCGCGCAGATGAGCACGCATGAGCACTGGATACAGCACCGCATGCAATAGGATTTTCAGCGGGCATAATCCGTTTCAGCGTTTGTGGTCCATGAACTCATTTGAATATGGACCCTGGTGTTGCCAAGACATTAACGTATGTTTCATCCTCTGTCATGTGTCGCAGCTTGTAACGTTGTACCCGCTCCGCAGGCGTCTGGCGGTGACCAGAGCCGGCCGCTGTCGAAGGCGCTCAAGATGTGCGGCTTCTACCTGAAGCTGGCCGTCGGTCTGAGTGAGAGCTACACAGCGCAGGCGCGAGGCGCGTTCGGCGTTCTCACAGAGCTGGCGTTCACCCTCAACCAGGCAGGTGCCCGACTCGACCCGTGTGTCTCAGCAGGCGCGTTCGGCGCTCTCACGAGCTGGCGTTCACCCTCACCGGGCAGGTGCCCGACTCGACCCGTGTATCTCAGCAGGCGCGTTCGGCGGTCTCACAGCGCTGGCGTTCACCCTCACCGGCAGGTGCCCGACTCGACCCGTGTGTCTCAGCAGGCGCGTTCAGGTTCTCACAGAGCTGGTGTTACACCCCTCACCAGGCAGGTGCCCGACTCGACCGTGTATCTCATCAGGCGTTGTCGGCGTTCTCACAGAGCTGGCGTTCACCCTCACCAGGCAGGTGGCCCGACTCGAACCCGTGTATCTCAGCAGGCGCGTTCGGCGTTCTCACAGAGCTGGCGTTTCACCCCTCACCAGGCAGGTGCCCGACTCGACCCGTGTGTCTCAGCAGGCGCGTTCGGCGCTCTCACAGAGCTGGCGTTCACCCTCACCGGGCAGGTGCCCGACTCGACCCGTGACCCTCGACCGACTCGACCCGTGTGTCTCAGCAGGCATCCTGAAGCAGAAGCTGTAGTTTCTCGCTCAGCTCAGCAGCTGAGCCCCGCCAGTTGCCGCCTGTGTTTAGGTTCGAGCTGGTATTGAATTGCAGTCGGGTGGTAATCGCCATGTGTATGCTACTGGAAATTTTACCTGCTCGGTGCAATACTACGGCGTTAATGTTGTGTGGATTCGTTCTGCGTTAATACGTTAATGTGCGGAAGAAAGGAAAGGTAATACAAAGGGATTTTATCATTAGTGATAGATAGGGGAAGTGCCACTCCACCATCGTTTAATTTGACTGCGTACGGATCACCACAACCGATCTGCCAAAATTAGTGCCGTCGTACAGATCACCATAAGCGATCTGCCAAAATCAGCGCCATTTGGTCACGGTCATCCTGCTTACGGCTACTCTGTCTCGGCACTCCGCCGCCCCGTAGGTGCCACACAAATCGGTTGATGCTGTACCTCCTGCCAACAGATGGCATGTAAGGCAGATGATGATCGTCTGGTGAGCTGTGTCATCACTGTACCTCCTGCCAAGCAGTGACATGTAAGGCGCTGATGATCGTCTGATGAGCTGTGTCCCACTGCCGCAGGACTCCGCCCCCCGACGCGCACGTAAACGACCTGGACCCCTGCTGTGCTCAGTCAGGCTGAGCAGTCAGCTGACGGTGTGCCGCCGAGCCGCTGCTCTTCAGCATGATGGAGGATCAGGCATACCCAGAGGTGAGCAGTGATGACCATTTAGCAATATTCAATTTTTTCATGGATGATGGGCATACATTGTTTTGCGTCGTAGTAGGATCATGTAATTATGTAAAGTTATGTAGAAAATAAAATTAGGTAGGATTAATTGATACATCTTGACTGTTACTGCATTTTTCTTTTGTTTTGTCTCAGTCGTCTTGTCATTATTTTACTTCGTCGTTATATCATTTACTGATATGCACGCTTGCCTCCAATTATGTATGTCGATCGATTACCAGTGATGCGGCAGGGGTGATGATGAGGCGCGGATGGCGCCCGCCGACGGCCAGGCGTTGAGGCGTGGTCGCCACACACAGCTGCTCGCTGCCACGTCGCCAAGGTTTCCCAGACCGGACCTTTGACCGGACAGACCGGACCTCTCACCCAGCTCACTGTCTGATCTGTGCTGCGCCGCAGCCGTTCTGGGAGGCCCTGGACGCCAGCGAGGCTCTCGGGCCGCTCTGTCGGCTGCGCTGCTGCCTGGCGCTGGCCCGCCGGTGCTGCCACCTGCCGGAGGCGTCACGAGGCGTGTGGACGGCCGGTGCCGACCGGCGCCACCTGGTGGCCGCCGCGCTGGACCTGCTGCCGCGCTGTACGTGGAATCCGTGTGCATGACGTGTGGTGGCCGACTAAATAGCGAATACGGGAGGGGATGGGTGCAGTGGGACGGCTGGCAATCGTGATTGCGAATGCGTACTTTGCTCACAACCAGGACTGTTGTTTATAGCAAAGGAATTGGTGCAGAGGCGTGGCCATATAACCATAACATTTGATGCGGCCGGCAATGGTGCGGACGCAGTGGTGTGCAAGTGTTCAAAGTGTACAGTTTCCTTCATTGTCTGCATACAAACATACAGTGCGACTTACCTCGACACCGTGATACGCAGTGGAGCGAGCGCTTCCTCATGCCAGCCGGGCGGGGTGTCGGCAGGTGACGTTGAGCTGGCCTGCGGCGCGCCCGTGGAATCCGATATCCACAATCGACCCCGGGTCAGCCTGTACGAGCACACCCTGGTGTCGGTCTGGCGCCCTGGTCGGTACGTGCCCGGGGAGACTCACGGTCGTGGCGTGGCCTGGGAGGCTCTCTTGGCCGGTGCGTGTGCCGGGGTGGGCCGATCGCGAGCTGGGCACCTGCCGTTGGGCTGGTTCAGCCGTCAGCGATGCTGTGCGTTTTGTGGGTTTGCTCTCTTTTGGCTTGTACCTCTTATGCTGAACGGTGTCCAAGTGGCGCCCGCCGTGTCGCAGGACATCGTCCTCCCGGGTCCTGTGGCGATGCGAGCCGCAGCCGATGCATCCACTTAGCGTGTTACTCTGTTTAATCCTGCCGATCTTCGACAGGGGTTCTTTGAAATGCGAAGCATGCAGTACCCGTTCCCTGTCGTGAAGCCGGTCTGCGGTGGCGATTGGCCACTGACTGTCTGTGCCTGCCGGCAGGGAGCCTGACAGCGCCCGAGCTGCGCGCTACCGAGACACACCTGTGGCGCCACCTGTGCCAGTCTGGCGTCTGGGGCGCGTTCTCGCCGCCGACGTCCTCTGTTTTATCGCCAGGCTAGTGCTCTCTGTGTGCCTGGAGTGTTAACTGATGAGGGCCTCATCCACTGCATCAGTAATTGGGTTGTGATTTGTCTAGTGCGGGGGGGGGGGGGGGGGGGGAGGATATGCATGTACACTACAGTGTCTCTGATTCGAGACTGTTTGTCTATTGAATAGCGACATCAAAGTATGTATGCAAGATGCGATTGTCTTCTTTGATTAAGAAATGATCCGCAGGCGCTACTTCAGGAATCAGGGAGGGTTAGCTGGCGCGCATCAGACGCCGTTGGCCAGATGGGCGAAGTGTCGTTACGTAAACCGCCCTGACGGCTCATACGGCACTGTATGCACGCGTACGGTATGGGACACTGCGCATCTCTGCCGCCTGCAGCATGGTCGGTAGGGGGGGGGGGGGGCTGTGTCGCGCCCCCTGTCCATGTCGTCATCGTTCCCTGCTGCACAGGTACGGCCCCGCCGAGCTGTGCAGGGACTACTGCTCGGCGGCGGCCGGCGCGCTGGCCCGCCGCCGCTCGCCCGCCCTCTGGCGGCTGCTGCGCCGACTGCGGCCACTGCTGGCCGACCAGCACCGCGCTCAGCTGCTGCGCGCCGGCAGCCCGGCGGCCGACACGGCCGCGCTGCTGCGCCGGGCGCTGCCGCTGGCCGACGGCCGGGCAGCCTGACAGGGCCAGAGCTGCTGCAGCTGGTACGGCCTGCCGCCAGACGCAGTTTGGCCACCAGTAGGGCGTCATGGCGCCGGTAGCGCGCTCATTTTTGTATACAAAAACTATTACGTGACTCATGCCTCCGCCATGTTCAACAACTGGGATACGTTCCTGAACTGTTAACTGCCAACTGACTTTTAATGAACTGTCAAATCACCAACTTAACTCTGACGCACTGATTTAGACTCCCGTGGTGTGTTGTTTCAACAAGTGCGATCGCCTCCTTCAGTGTCACGTTTGTATCACTCACGCCCTGGCCTTACAATGAAGCCATGACAAAGCAATGGTGTGGCCATTACGCGAGCGCATGGCAAGAGGGTGTGTTCTTGCCCTGTGCCAGCACATGGCAAAAACCACGAGCCAGCACCGGCTGCCGCTCTGAGAGGTGGTGGCCGTTACAGACGGACGCGCTGGATACGGCGGACGTGCGGCGGGGCTGCGCAGCTGGTG